AGAATCGGCACAGGCTCTCGTCGCTAAAGTGTGCCTGGTTTGTTTGCGTATGTGTGTGTGTCTGTGTGTGTGTGTGTGTGCATTTGTGTGTTTGCTTGGAGGAAAAAAGATCGAGCGAGAGGAAGGAAGGAAAACAGAGAGAAAGCGTAAAGCAGAGGAATGGTGTGCCTGGATTTATTTGTGCATGTATGTGTAAAAATGTACTTTGGCTCAAAACTTGATTAAAAGTTCCAAGAGTTTTGAACTTTCCACCTTAATTTTCTTTTTTGAGAGACTGCCTCCAGTGTCATGTTTGTAATTTATGTTGGCGCCCTCCCTGTTTCAATGAACACTATGAATGTTGAACTTAAAATGCATAAGAGGAACAAAGGGTTTCATTTTAGCTTTGGATAGACTACGTAGGAGTTTCAAGACTCTCATTTAAAGGATATAAAACAAGCCTGTCAACTCAGCCAAAGCCTCCCCTGTCTGGGGGGTCTGTCGCCTTACCCTCATCTGAAACAATGTTGATGATGACTCTGGCAGCTGATGACAGTAGATGAAGGAGAGTTTGGATATGGCTCGTCATTTAATCAATGTCTTGCCTCGCTCTCTCTTCCTGTTCCTGCTCTGGCTACTCCAGGGTCCAAGGAGGTAAATGGCTCTGCAGATAAACCCCAACCCTATTATTGTTGGCCAACAGGAGGCGCTGGATCCACCGAGGCACGAGTCTTCAGGGAATCCCGAGGAAGGAACAACAATGAGCCGCACATTAAGAGGCCCATGAATGCGTTCATGGTGTGGGCCAAGGACGAGCGGCGGAAGATCCTCCAGGCTTTCCCCGACATGCACAATTCCAACATAAGCAAGATTTTAGGTAAGATATATCTGGCACAAGACAATCCAACCAAGACTTCATGGTGTAAATCACTAATCACATTATAAATGAGTTTCCAAAACCACCTGTAAGAATTTCACTTTTTATCGTCCCTGTTAAACATGATTTTACTGCCTGTATCTACCTCATTTCAGTGGAATTAACCCAACAGAATTTTTCTGTGACAGACTGTAAAGGTGAAGAACTACTCTGTGTAACAGCAGCACTATAAAACCGGATAGACTCCATAATTTCCTGCATACGTTTTGTACATTCAGATACGGGTTATTGCACCAGTATCTAAGAAAGAAAGCTGTGTTATCTCATAGGCCACTGTGCATCAAGTCCCCTCAGCACACAGATGGATTTATAGCCCCTCACTACCATAAGTGTTTGTCATGAAAAATGACAGAGGCTAAATGGGTCTTGTCCCTTCAGCATTGGAGTCCATACATCAGAGCTGTTAAAAGTGCTGTCATCCACTACCTCGTAGGACACTCCACAGAGCTGCAGTATTTACTACACACACACGTTGCGCCTCACTGTTTGACATCGACGCTTTTTACTTCATCTCAGATAATGTGCTTATGCAAGGTGGTTTTGCTTAAAATTTTCCACCATTAGAAAAGTGCAATTACAGAAAAATAAAAAGTTTTCACCCCACATGGAGAATATAACTCCACTGTGGATTCACATGATGTTTATGTAAAAGAAAAACTGAAATGAAAAATCTCTGAATTTATTTGAGAGACTCTTTCACAGAGTACCCAGAAACTAGGGGTGGGAGAAAAATCGATACAGCATAGTATCGTGATATTTTGTCTGGTGATATATTGTATCGTCTCATTGACCAATTACTGATTGTTAATATGAAGTGAAATGTATGATCACAACAGTCGTCATCCCAAGACACTTTTCAAAGAACAAGAGCAGGCTTGCAAGATGTGCAACATGAAAATATTGAGTAAATAAGGCAAAGATAACGGAAAGCCAAATGATAAATTAGTTTAACAGTTGAAGAAATTGTATAGATTGCAATATATGGTATCGCAGTACTCACTGTATTGCAATAATATCGTATCGTGGCCCAAGTATCGTGATAATATTGTATCGTGGAGCCACTGGTGATTCCCACCCCTGCCAGAAACTGTGTTGCCTTTCAATTTTCAGACAAATGTCCTTCTTCGAATACTTGAATTGCAAATCTGTTGTTGCGTAGGTTCTCGGTGGAAGTCCATGTCTAACCAGGACAAGCAGCCATATTACGAGGAGCAGGCCCGCCTGAGTAAGCTCCACCTAGAGAAGTATCCAAACTACAAGTACAAGCCCCGGCCTAAAAGGACCTGCATCATTGACGGAAAAAAACTTCGCATCGGAGAGTACAAGCAGATGATGCGCTCACGGCGACAAGAGATGAGGCAGTTCTTCACTGTCGGGTAGGTGCGCAGTCACAGATCTGCACGACTCCAGCTCAATTTAACTACAACGTAAACTTCATTTCTTGAAGTGAGTGTTGAGTTATCCTTGATTGTATTGGTGTAATGACAAGGGCCTGGCATGTGCAGAGAAATCAAGTGCTTCTCAATAGCTGTGATTAAATAACTTCAGACAATAGCAGTCTGCAAATGGAGTGTGAAGTGCAGACATTATTACAGGATATAAGTTGTAGGTATACTCTTACAGTAGCCTGGAGGGCAGCAGTCTGCAGCTTAACACTTTAATTTACTGTGTGTGGTTAGCAGGAGAGCCCTTCTCCAGGTGTTCCCATGTCAGTCATAAGCTTCAGTGGCTGGAGTATCAATCATCCAGCACAGCAGCAGACAAGAGCAGCAGTAACCAAGCATTGGTTTTATGTCACCAATAAAGTGGCTAGTGTTTCTGAACAGCTCAAGACAGGAGCTGTCAGGAGAACCTCTCTTTTTCCCAAATCATTTTCACAGAGCTGCTGGCTTAGAGCGAACTGCAGAGGGAAAGCCCCCCTGATCCAAGCATCTGAGTTAAAATACTACAACAAAAACGACACAGATATGATTTTTCTCTCGACCCTGAGGAACTCTTATTCTTTAGGCAACACTTTTCCATCCGCCTTTTGAATCTGAAATGTATGTTAGAGGAAATTTATGATTAACTTCAAGCTCTATCCACCCACATCCAGACAACCGCCACAGCTTCCCATCACCACCAGCGCCAGTATGGTCTATCCAGGCACCATCACGATGGCAACCACCACACCGTCACCTCAGATGACATCAGAGTGCTCGAGCGCCTCAGCGAGTCCTGAGCCGACCATTCCCGTCATCCAGAGTACCTATAACATGAAGCTAGAGCCTAACACCATGGTGAACAACAACAGCGAGCCGGTCGACGGCGAGGACGAGATGGACATGTATGAAGATTTCGAGGACGAGCCTAAATCAGACTATAGTAGTGAAAATGAGACACAAGAGCCAGTCAGCGCCAACTGAAACCTCCTCAAAGGGGGATAGGTCATTGCAGACATAAGACTCGTACAGGAGGACGTCTGAACTGAGGGAGCAAAAGAGCAAAAGAAAACAAAACTACACCAAAAGGTTTAGAGATGTTTCAAAAAATAACAAAGTTGTACCATTTAGAAGTCAGCATGCAGGTGTGGCTTCATCAGATTCAAAAGCTATCTGGTCTTAAGTGTTTTTTTTAAGTGTGTGAAGCAGTTTGGTTGTGGTTTTTAAATTTTTTTTTTTTTTTCGTTTTGTTTTTGTTTCTGTCATTGTTTTGATTTTTCATCGTGATCATGGACATTTTCATAATTAGGTCATTGCCTAGAACAAAAGACGGAACTTGAAATTGTACATTTGATATGAAACGGTAATTCTTACAGTTGTTAACTTGTTTGCTTCTTCAATTAGATGATTTTGATATTTTGCAAAACTGTTAAAGATGGGAATAATATTCTCACTCAGGTAAAGTGCGCCAGCCAACAGCTCGTGAATGTTTTTAATCAAGAATTAATGACTACCAGGACAAAATATCTCTAAATTTATATGGAGTGATTACAACGTATTAGAGGGGAAATTACTTATTATTATTATTATACTTATTATTATTACTAATATTATTATTATTATTATTTCAGCTTTTGTCAGTAAACAAACTGCGAGTGCAAAAGTGCCAAACATTTTAAGTAGTTTCTAAAATTGGAAAAGTCTTTCGGGAGGGGCTTCATGAGTCTTGGACAATCTCTTGATCTTTTAATACATCTTCATTATCCAGTCTTTCTTTAATTCACCCTGACAGAATAAACAAATGACACTCAGGAACTTGGAGGCAGCAGGCTCTGCAGGAGGTTACAGTATGGGACATCTTTGGCTGTTAGCTTGTGATGCTAGCTGTTCTCCAGGGAGTCCAGTGCAGTGATCATCAATGAACCCAGCCAGCTCCTTTCATTTCCTCATCCCGGTCCCACACAGAGCATTGAGGCTTCCTTAACTCTTTTCCAGCTCTGCAACCTAGTCTGACTCACTAAGTTCTTAATCAGAGTGATTGTAATCAAGCCAGAATGCTAAAGGGCCAAAGGCCTCCAATCTGTGGGATTGGAACAGCAGCGAAAGGCAGCTTTGGGGGCATTACAATCTCAAATTGATGTTGTACAATGTGCAGCTACAGTACTTTTCTGTTAAAGGCTTTAGCCCCACTTGGATGGCAAGTTTAAGGTCTTAGGTCTTAGAACTTCATGTTTTTTTTTTTTTCAATCTTAATTCTTTTTAGACATTGTAAATCTTAAATTGACACTAAGAAGTCTTAAAGCAGAGCATGGACATTGGGTTGACGCAATGACTTGATTACTGCAGTAGTCTTAAGATGAGCAACAGTTTATGAGGATATTTATGGAGAAAGGCTTATATATTATGTCTTTTTTTCACAGCTGGGTAACTTAAAACACTGTTTTTTTGCATTAGTGCACTTATACAAATCTTATTCTGTCACCAGTTAGCCTTACGTTGTTTCCATCTTATCAGCTTTTGGGATGCACTTAGCTCCTTTTTTGAAACAGAAAAACACGCAATGACTCAGAAACAAGAGGCACAAAGTCTTTATCCCAATTTCAACTGAAAAGCTGACAAGTGGTGACCTTCTGGAGGCTGCAGCTAGATAAAGCAGGGCCTTGATGTTGCCTCTCAGATCCTCTTTACAGGGCAGAAGGTCTAAGTGGCTCCCCTCCCTGCCATGCCCTGCTCTGACCCCTGCCCGTGGCAACCTCAGCACCCAGGGGGCGCCATCTGGCCCAGAGAAGGAGAAAAACACCAGGGAGGGATGGGGGAACAATAAAAACAGGGTGTGTGTCCCTCATTGTGCTCTCCATCAAAGTGCTGGTGGTACGGCTTCAACAGGGCTCCCACCCCGGCCCAATCACCAGGCAGTGGCGAGCAGATGGAACAAGTACATCAAGCTGTGGGGGATTATTAAAATGACTGACGACTGGGTATCATCTGAAATACAGCATTATTAATGCATGAGTCCAGCTATTCCCCTCCCTTGCCCTTGAACCTGTCCACTGCAGAAAGAGCGCAGAGTGTTTTGAAGGGTCTGAATAGTTGCTAACTGGTTTTAACTGGACAAGATCCCCACTGCTGGTCACTGCATTTTTCTCCTCCAAACGGTACAGTCCGCTCTTTTGACCTTCACGCGCTCACATCTTCTTAACTCTCATCGTCTTATTGCTTACTTTCAACTTTAAGGATGCATTTTTATTAAGTCCTTAAAAGTTTCCAAACCATCCAATTCACCCGTCCCATCTTTTCTACATTGTTCTCCTTTTGAGGTACTAGAAATCCTAAGGACGCTCTCCTAAAAACAAACTTGAGCGGATTTCCCTCCGAGTCGACCTGTTTGGTATTTTAAAGCTGTTTGCTCCTGTTTGCTGGTGGCCAGGATTGATTTGTATGTGATTGTAAATATTTTCATGACCACGCCACACTGCTTTGGTTGGCTGGTACTTAAAAAGGACTCTTCACACGGAACTGAAACTTGACTGTGCTTATTAAAGCAAAAAAAAGAAAAAAAAGGAAAAAAGAAAAAAAAAAAGAAAAAATGACAAGAACTCACAAGGAGACGATGTTTCATAAGTGTTATAAGCACTGGATATAAATTGTATTTTTTATCAATTCTGATTAATGTGAAGCTGTTTGTGGAAAAACACCATGAATGAACAAAATTCCCCCAGTTGGACTCAAGTGGGTTTGCTTTCAACGTTGCCAGATTTGAGTCTTTATTTTGTCTACTTATTTTGTTTATTTATGCAGAGACACATGTGATGAATGAACACTTTGTTTAAGCTGCAGGGCTGCCTAGAGGAAAGACTCCGCACAAGAGTGAGCAGAGATTTCAACAGCAGGCTTGGTTAGCCATCAAATAGCAAACTTCAGACTTTAGTGTATTGCATATTGTATTTGAAATTGTAGAGAACCAACTCACTGTATTTATTTTCAGCCACTGCAGGCTCTAAAACGTGTCAGTCGAAAAAAGAAAAAACAACAACCTGGACAATCAGTGGAATTGAAACAGACAATTAATTGGAGCTAAAATGGTTTTCAGTGAATTCACCATCTCATTTAGATTTAATTGTAAATATAACATAGGAAATATATTTTTGTTCATTAGTGAAGTATAAGTTATGTATGTGACTGTTGTATTTCATTCTGTTTTTATTTTTGTATGTGGTTTCATGTTTCAAAGCTGACAAGTCACTGTACCTCATGTAGATGCTGATTTTTTTTTTCTTCTGCTTTTTGGAGAAGAGGGGAATTGGACCTGAGAGAAAAAAACTCAATCATTTACTTTTTGATAATCTTCCCCTCTGCTATTCATTAAAAAAATCAATATTAAACCAATACTTACTAGATAGAGGAGTCATAAAAGTACGGTACTCATTTTAACCACAAGCACTTGATGTAAAAGACTAATTCAGTTATTTTGTCAATCCTGATACAATCCTAGTGGAATGCTGTATATCCTCACTTGTGTTTTCTTTTATTACAGCACTCATAGTCTTCAGCTAATTTCATATGAGGAGCTGATGAAATCCTTTAAAAATGATTGCATGCATTTAAGCTTGCATTTACATTATCTTAACAGAGAAAAGGTGTCTCTTCGGAAATGATTGTTTCAAACACAAGTGATGTTTTTTAGATTTTTATTTTATTTTGAAAGGTGGGAGCGTGCAAATATTTATTTGATTTTGTGCTCAGACATTGTGCATCTTCTTAGATAATTCATAGCCATCTTGTTTATGTTGCTGATTCTTTTTCGTGTACATGTTCATGACTATCAAGCCATCTGCAGATGTAGCCCTCACAACTGTTCATTTTCTTAATCCACTTGTTAGACAAGCAAATGGTTTGACAACTGAAGACAAAAGCTTGTATGCTGTTTCAACATTACTTACTGTAATTTCATTTTTTTTTTTTTTTTTCTGTCTGGACTTTGTGATGTGATGTGTGGGAATGTTCTCTGTGTTAATTTAATCAGCACAATTCACTGACATGCTGGACTGACATGCTAGCTGCTGTTCAGAAGTGTAAAATATGTCGTTCAGGGCAACATTTCGGGTTGTCTTTGGTACTTTTTTTTTTTTTTTTTTGCTTTTTAGACTTGTCTCTCAAGCAACACTGTGTGTGGCTCTTCTATCACTGGAGCCATCGTTTTGATATCGCTGGCAGCCTGATACAATTTTCTGCATAGATTTTGTTTTTTTTGTTTTTTTCCTGGCAGGTACCTAGGCCCATGGCAAGTATTGTTTGGGTGTTCTTAGAGAAAATGAAATACATAGTGTCTGTTGCTGCTTTAAAAAAAAGTTTATGTCTGAATATGTAAATAGTTTATCATAATATCTTGTACAGTCCAATGTAAAGTTTTTAATTCAACTTAAAAATGTTGCCATCACATTTGTGTTCACATTCTTCTTTATACAGTACAAAAGATCAATTATTTGCGAGGGGTATTATTGCTTAAAAAGAAAAAATGAAAATGTTACTACATTTTTTATGTTTTTGTTTGTTTTGTTTTTGTTTTTTTGGCTTGGCTTCAAAGTGTACACCAGCAAGTCTTTGGTTTCCATGTGCAGTATTGACGTGAGGTAAACTTAAGGTGAATAATTTTACAGTGGTGTGTGTGGAGAGTGATCTCCTCGACTTTGGTAGTATTAATACACTATATTGAGTAAAAACAAACCAATGAGTGACACATTCAAGTGCAACTAGGCACTATGGAAGTGTGTCTTCTGTATATGAATAACTATCCCCACAGGATCAGTTCAGGCATATTACAATGTACCACCTATTTCTGTATGTCTCAGTCCACTGTAACAATGCAAAAGTGGGAAAAATAACTGCCTGTTTAAGCTCATTTACCTCAAGAATTTCCTCCTTTTCTGTAAAAGAGACAGACATTGTGTTACAGAAAACTTCTCCCATCACTCCATCTTTTGTACTGCTGTTGACACTTACAAATTAAAGAGACATTTTGTTTTAAATTTGACTGATTTTTCTTATTTCATCATTTCTTCACATCTGGCATGAACACAATTCAGGTCATAAAGGGTTTGGGTGAGTAATCACAATTAATACACATTTTAACAGTCTTGATTGATCCTAAGGCCACGAAGAGGAGCAAGACAGAGACTACTTGTAGAAGGCTTTTTTTGTGATAAGTGTGGTGTTTTATATTTTACAACTCAAGTAAAAAAGAAATAATTTATTTTAATATTTATAAAAATCATCTACTGTCAATGAAATCTATTTTGTTTGGTACTTGTCGCTTCACACTTTAAGCTTGGCACCTCTGTTTTGCTTTAAAGATTTGAGGCTTGTAATACATGACTTAAAACAAGTTTTAAAATCTATATTTACATATTTTTTTATTTCTGATCCCTGGTGAGAACTCGTATACATTTCCCATAGATTGTTAATTCATTAGTTCACATGAGACAGTGTACAACGGCCAATGTAACTTATATTTGTCATCTTAAAAAAATAATATGTTACAAAACATTGTTTATAGAGGTATTTTTCAGACACCATAACTATACCCAGTGGTTATAACAGTATTCCTAAAGACTTATGATTGTAGTAAGTTATCAAGATGAAAAAAAACAACATCTTCATAAATGTAATTTAAGGCGTTTCAATGAAGATTTAATATCAATGTACAACCAGAGTTTTCAAACAGCTACTTAAATGGAGTAAATGGGCTGGAACATTTAAAGAAATCTACATATCCATGTGTCCGGTCTGAGTTTGCTGCAAAGCCTGACGCACATGAAGACACACAAACAAAGAGAATATTGTGGCACTAGGAATGGGGATCATTCACTTTAACTGCTATTGATACCATTGGCCCCATCGTCAATGCAAGTCCAATAATGACAACAATTCAATTTAAGAGAGCTGGTTTTGCTTTCAATGATTACATTTGATTTAACTTGCCCAAAGGTCAACTGACCTGACCTTGACCACATCATCGTGTAACTTTACGTCATGTTATTTTATCCGCTCAGCTTCTATCCCGTTGATTCAAAAAAAGTTTTCTTTTAACTTTAAGTGCTTGCTGCATAGTTTAGGCGTGACTTCAGTGTGTTTACCACAACTACTTTGTGGAGAAGGATAACAGGCTGGTGTTGAATTTTGGTTTGATTTGATGCACTAAACAGATGTGCATGGCCATGTTACTTGTGTTACTAATTTAAAGCACAACTGATGTGATTTTATGTTACTGATAAAACTCAACTGAAGACATGAAGTTATGACACATTAGGATAAGTAACTTGAAAAAATATTGATCCTCAGGTTTTGAACTGAAACTGGATCCTTCACAGAACCAGGTTTTAATCTTTAGGTATGAGGTGAAATGTGGGGAGACAGAGAGAGAGGGGGTAGGACATACAGCACATGGTCAGGGCCGGATTCGAACCCGCAACCACTGCAAAGACAGTGGTCACCATGTACGGAGCGCACTAACTCACTTGGCCAAAATCTGGTTGATTTTAACAAAAACCTGCACTTCTGTGTTGAAGGATCCTTGTCCGGTGAGCAGACTGTGTGAGGCAAAGGCTTAGTGTGTGTGAATGTGTGAATGTGTGTGTGTGTGTGTGTGTGTGCGCAAAAGTACCAGAGGTCATCTTGAGAATTGTAGGCCAAACCTTGTCCATCATTTTCCTCTGGACTGCTGCCATCTATTGCTCATTATCATCGTAATTATTATGAATACTACAACCTGCTCCTTTTTAAGTGAGGCCTTTCTTGACAGGAGGGGTTGAACATTTCCAATAAAATTGTGTCAGTGTTTCAAAAACCTCAACACACCTGTCTGACGTGTAGTTCCTCATGCACTATGTTAGCTGTACAAAAACAGACGTAAAAAGAACAGTCTTTTGAGATGACGTGTTTCAACTATTTAGGGAACCTGATTCATTTGTTGTCTTCATCAGTCTCTTGGTCTTTTACCATTGTACCG